AGGAAAAGAGGGGATGCTGAGCCCCGCTGACGTCCGTCTGAAATGATGATCTTTACCTGCCCTTTATCGCCTCCAAGCGCTGAACGGAACCTTCGAGTCATCGAAAAGTGGGAAAAGACTGATGAAGCCATTGGTGGGACAAAGGCAAGTCGGAAATCATGGCAACAATGCCGTTGCTCGACCCGAGTACTGCTCCAGAGCCTCACGTGCGGAAGAACACAATAAGACGGGCATGAAACTCGGGGGTTCAATTAAAATCGGCCATCGGCTTCGAACCACCTTCAGGTCCGCCCCGGACCCTATCGAAACCTTGCCTTGTGTACTTTCGAGCCACAAGAACCAACGCAGATGCCGCTCTCCCCATCGTGGCGGTCGCTAAGCCATGCTCTTGAGCCAATCCTACCCCCGACTCCGTTGCCGATCGCTTCTCGGCTGCCAACTATCTCTCGCGTACACGATCCGACGTCCGGTGGACCGCCTCGAAACGCGCTCTCCGCTTTCTGACTCCGGCGCTGGGCCTGGCCCGGCACGTGCAACGTTCTGGAACGAAATCCACCATGTGTACCCCTTGATACCTCCTGATGCTGCTTCACGATGCACCCACGATGACGAAGTCGTCTTTTGTCGCTGAGGGTCTGCTCCCCTGTGTCCTGTGCGAATTGCAGGCTGCCTCGGACTTCGCACACTACTCTGCCATGCTAGTCCGGGGAGGATTTCTCTTTCTTTCCTGAATATTTGCAATTCATTTCTGTCGATATCTGAAGACGAGGCGTTGCTATAGTGCTGTATAGCCATGTCCACTCGTCTGCTGATGCGCTTGTATTATCTGCAAGGCTTCTTCTGGCTCATGCAGATTCCATCTTGAGCCGCCTCGCATTCTTTAGTTCGTCCTGTCAAGAAACATCAGCCTCTCCCCCTCAAAAATCCCAGATCAGGACAAGCCACTCACCTCCGCCTTGCGCTTCCCCAAGACAGGCTCCGGCGTCCCCCTCGCCGGCGTGGCGTCCCGCACCATTGTCGCCTCAGCATGGCAGCTCGCATGATAAGCCCTGTTCCCCACGAGCTTGGCATCCAGCCAAACCCACTCCTGCGCCGTGTCGAGCCACTTGTTCTCGAATTCCTCCTGGCAAATCGGGCACGTCGTGTTGACCCCCGCCGAGGCATCAGGCACCGCAATGTACGGAACCTGCGACGAGCCTTTCCCGCCGGCACCGCCGCTACCGTGGGCCCCGCTGTCTTGTCGTGCCGCCGCCTCGGCTGCCTCCTTGGCGTGGTCGGCGTCCACGACCTCGCGCGAAGCCACCCAGTCCGAGTGGTCCACGTACCCAACTGCGATGCTTGCCCGCGGCGCTCTGCTT